AGGGAAGCTGCTCTGCCTCCAGTGTGATCAGTTGACAGTTTCTCAACCTCGGCGAAGACCCCTGACAATGGTGGCCTCCGCATCATCACTACTTTCTGGGCGCCTACCCTGAGGACCGCCTCCTTCAGAGCCAGGCTCTTATTCCAGCCTCCACAGCCAGAACAGTCAAGGCTTCTTGATTTGTATTTTCCAGGCAAGAGAACTTTGTATCCCTTTTTTTAAGTATGGATAGATTACCCAATGTTTATACTCTTTAGAAATGCCTAAAAGTGTTGCTATGTTTTAGATGGATCTGTCAAATTGTTTAAAGGGAGGTAGAAGGTTTGCCTCATGGGTTCCACCTGCGGACTCATCTGGGAGCTGGTGCCCACCAGTGCCTTTGTCGCACCTGGGATGGAGGCTGGGCGGAGGCGTGTCCCCTGGCTTCTGGAGCTGACACTCCGAGTCACGTTGAAGATTCGGGATGTTTACAGTGCATCATGTGTCTCTTCCTCTCTGGCTCTGTTATCTCTGTATAACTATGCAGTTCTTCTTTCTAATACTCCTGGAGCATTTGAGACTTGACACAACCTACATGACCCAGCCAGTGTGCCATCAAGACTGCTGGGGTTGCTGTAGAGGCTGCCCCCTGCAGGCTCTGAGACTCTTCAGTGGGGGCTGGGGGCCTGACCCCAGTGAGCAAGCTCTGCCTCTTGATCTCTGCTTGCCAGGAGAGCTGTGCAGACTGACCATTGGAGTTGCCTGTGTGAGGTCAGAGGCTCTGACACTGTCTAATGTCAATGCTTCCAGAAACTTCTTGCCTAGGTCCTCTTTTTTTTCTTCTTTGCCAATAACCTGATTAACTAAGTTCTCCAGCATCTAGGATTTACCTCCTCCTTTCGTAAGGCCTCTTGTATGTTGTTAAAGGTTCAGCTTAAACAATTTATAAAAACCTTTCTATAGGGCAGATTTAGCCACTGGCTGACCCGGTCCTCCCCAGCAGAGCTCCAAGGGAAGGTGTCCTTGTGTTGGCCCTGGGGAGCTGCTGGGTGCTTAGCATTTTTTGATTTTGACATTGACATAATAGATAGGCTTGTGGGTTGTTTTGTTTTTGTTTTTTAATTTAAAAATATTAAGACTTAATTCACTAAAATTTATTCTAAGGGGATATTTATACTTTTGTACTTTTTTAGGTATCCGTATTTTATCAGCTTACCATTTAATGCCTAAGTTTCCCCTGAAAATAGCAAATAAAATTGTGTATTTATGAATGAGCCCAGCAACTGCTAGTGTCTTCAAATGCATGCAAAGCTACTGCCGGGAGCGCCACACTGCTCACCCAAGGGCCCCGCCCTCTCAGACATATAGCTCCCACTTGAGCAAGGGCCCCACCCCCAGTGTCCCCTAGAGGGTGTGACTCCCTGTTATTGATCAGACTCTCTGCCACCTGAACTTCTGCCTTGTCCCTCCTGTTTCCAGGTGTGCAGCTCTTCTTTCAACTGGTGGTCTAACCCAACCCAGGGCTCTGTTGGGGGCTGTTGTGTTTATCCAAGTTAGGATGGAGGGTGGGGGTCACCCATGTGGGGCCAAGAGTTCAGGCTTTCAGGTGTCTGGATACAGCCTGGGGCACATGGAAAGGAGTCCAGGTGTAGCTCGAGGTCTTCCTGATGGCAGCCAGGACCTGGACGTGCTGAGGCACTTCAGCTGGGCAAGGCCAAGAGCACTTGGGAAGGGCTTCAGCATGGCAGGTGTTCCTTCTGAACAGAAGACTAAGTAGGAGACAGCTCTACAGTCTACTGGGTCAGCTGGGCAGGGAGGGAGCCCCATCCCGCTCAGTGTGAGCTTTCTTGTCACCGTGACAAAACAACTTGAAGGGGCTGGGGTTGTGGCTCAGTGGTAGAGTGCTTGCTGAGCATGTGTAAGGCACTGGGTTCGATTCTCAGCACCGCATATAAACAAATGAATAAAATAAAGGTCCATCATCAACTAAAATAATAATAAAAAAAAAAAAAAACTTGGAGGAGGACAGGTTTATTTATTCTGGCTTAGTTTCTGAGGTTCCAGTAGGTGGTTGCTTGGCTCTGTGGGCTTGGGTCTGTGGCAAGGCAGGATGTGGAGGGGAGGATATGGTGGAGTGGAGCTGCTGACCTCGTGGCAGCCAGGAAGGAGCTGGTGATGAGTACCCCTCCTGCAGTCCCCCACCCCCTGCAGTTCATTCAGTTATGAACCCATCAATGGATTAATCCATTGATCAGCCCACTCATGATCCAGTCACTTCCCTAGATCCCCACCTCTGAACACTGGGCGCCAAGCCTCCAGCACATGGACCTCTGGGGCGTCCCAGATCTGAAGTACAGTGGTAGGCACAGCCCCCCACCATGGAGGGGGTCCCTGGAGCACCACTTGGGCATTGTGAGGGTTGTCAGCCCTGGTGGCTCCAGGAAGCAGGTGGGGGACAGAAGAGGCTTGGGGCTGCCACGAGGTCAGCAGCTCCGCTCCACCACACCCTCCCCTCCACATCCCACCTTGCCACAGATCCAAGTGACCACCTACTGGAACCTCTGAAACTGAGCCAGAATAAACTTGTCCTCCCCCAAGTTTTTTGTTGTTTTTTTTTTTTTAATTTTTTATTGTTGGCTGTTCAAAACATTACAAATTTCTTGATATATCATATTTCATACTTTGATTCAAGTGGGTTATGAACTCCCATTTTTACCCCATATACAGATTGCAGAATTACATCAGTTACACATCCATTGATTTACATATTGCCATACTAGTGTCTGTTGTGTTCTGCTGCCTTTCCTATCCTCTACTATCCCCCTCCCCTCCCCTCCCCTCTTCTCTCTCTACCCCCTCTACTGTCATTCATTTCTCCCTCTTGTATTATTTTTCCCTTTCCCCTCACTTCCTCTTGTATGTACTTTTGTATAACCCTGAGGGTCTCCTTCCATTGTTTTTTGTTTTTTAAATATTATTTTATTGGACCCCCAAGTGGGTCCCCAGCTGCTGGGCATTCTGCAGAGGCCATGCCTTTACTGTCCAGGGCACCACATGGGGGCAGGAGCCACACCTCTGGTTGGCTGGTGCCTGAGCCCAGCCCAGGAGATGGAGAGCTGATCCCCCTAGTGCTGGCACTGGGGGTGAAAGCCCTTCAGTCTTGGCACCATCCATCCATGAGTGGGAATAGCACTGCCTTGATCCCTTTGGACAGACTGAGCTTTCTGAGGAAAGTAGTGTTGATACTAGGAGCAGGGGTGTCCCTGGCTTTGGGGCTCTCCCTCTGCCACACTCCTACCTGTCCTACATTCTGAACACCTAAGTTGGATGGTGGCATTGGGCAGGGCCACTTGGCCCTCAGGTCTTCTGCTCCCACACATGCTTCTGGGCCCCGGGTTGATGGGGCAAGAAGGGTCCCCTCCCAGCCCTTTTTCTCCTGGGTTTCCACAGGCCGATCGTGGTGCCTGCGCATGTGTGCCATGTATGTCTTCGTGGATGGTACTGTGATTATGGCAGCGGATGCTCTAGTGTCACCTGCTCTGAGCACCAGTGTGGAAGGTTCCCTCCCTAGCCCTCTGCCTGGCTGTGCCAGCCGCTCCCTGCAGCTGGTGCCCTGGTGCCACCCACCTGGCAGATCACTGGAGACTGCCTGGTGGCTATGTGGAAAATTCCATCTGAGCCCCCCCAGCATGCAGAAGAGCTTGCAGCAACCTGGGGTGTTTCCCCTCCATCCTTACACACTGAGCTTAGTATGAGCTGTGACTTGCACAAAATAAACCTATTTCCCTTTTCAAGCCCTGGGCTCCAGGGTCTCTTGTGTTCCATGATGTCTGTCTGTGTAATGTCTTCCCTAGGCTTGGCCCAGCCCAGCCACATGTCCTGGGGAAGCTGGGACAGAGGCTCCAGGTGTATAGGTGGGACATGTCACCGCACCTCCTCCAGCCTCCCATAACCCCACCCCAGGGTAGGCTCCTTAAAACCCACAGTGGTTGCAGGTGCACTTCGAGGTGGGCCCCAAGCCAACACCTGTCAGCCAGGATGCCCAGAGCTTATTCCTGGGCTATCTCAGGAACTGCCCCCCAACCTGGGCTCCAGGGCAACTACTCCCCTCATAGGACAGAAGAGCAGCCCCTCCTGGACAAGACACCCACCCTGGTCTGGAGCAGGAGCTCAGCACATGATCTATCCACAGAGGCCACCAAGTGGCCCAGGGGACTCCTGGCGGTGGTCCCTACTGTGCTCCTGTGGTCTACAGCACCTGTGCCAAGCAGCCACTTCCACAGATAGCAGTGCCTGCAGCTCAGCACCACGTGGGGCAAGCAGCTGTGTGTGGCCATCAATGCACACATGTAGGTGTGTCCAACCCCTCTGCTTCAGACTCCCCAGTGTAGAAAAGGGAGGACATGGGGTGAATGTCCCTGGAGGAAGCCGTGGGGCTGAACTGCGCAGGGCCTGGGCACTCCCCAAGGCAACAGCTAACACTGCTTAGAGAAGCCTCCAGTGGAGCGGGGAAGGTGCCTGGGGAAGGAGGCTGTAGTTCCCCAGTGTGGTCCTGCCTCCTCCTCAGCTCCCCACCCCACCCTGGGCAGGGTTCCTGCAGAGGCACTGGCTGGCTTGTAACCCAATTTTCTACGTGTGTTGGTCGCTGTCCATGTTCCCAGCATGGGGCAGCTCTTGGCAGATACTCAGGTGGGGAAACTGAAGCACGTGGTGACAGCAAAGCAGCCTCCTGTGAGGAGGTCTGGGACAGCATCACAGGACAGAACAGTCCTGGGACCCAGTGGCATCCTAGCCTGGTATGCCTCCCATGGTTCCACCCGCCAGGGACCAAACCCTCCAAATCTTCCCCCCAACTCAGCTCCTCAGCCCCAGACCTCCAAAGGTCCCAACCTGAGGGGCACTATTTTTATTGGAAGTGAATATAAATAAAAGTGACAGGTGTTTGGGGGAGGGGAGGATGGAAGGCTATTTACAAATGTACACCCTGGGTGGGGCTTTACTTGGTCCCAGCCTGGGAGGGCTCAGAGGAAGGCAGGCAGCACCAGGAAGGCCAGCAGCACCATGTGGGCAGCCAGGCAGGGTGCTGAGTTCTGACCAAGGCGCTGCTGGCCTTGGGGGTCTCGATGCTGGCCACCCTCCCTCCCTGACTGGAACTGCAGCTCAGGGATGATCCCCTGGATCCAGTTGTGGTGGGAAGTGACCCGGATGTAGACACCTGGGCGGTTCCGGCGTGCACAGCCCTCGCCCCAGCTGATCACCCCAGCCTGCACCCATGACTGGTCCACAAGGCACACCAGGGGGCCCCCTGAATCACCCTACAAGGGAATCATAAGCCCCATTAGAACCCAGGGCCAGCCTCTGGGGGTAAACTTGCACTTATTGCTAGTCCCTTCCCGGGAGCCTCCTGCCTCGCCCCCATCTGCTGGTCCCACCTCTGTGGACGAGGGTGTTCCAGTCAACGGCATGTTCACCCCTGGTGGGGGGAGTTAGAAATGCAGCTTCCTGGGCCTGCCCAGACCCTAGGACCACTCCCAGGCTGGGGATGATGGGCACACAGCCCACCTTAGCCGGGGTACAGGTCAGGGCTGAGTCACCAGCTCGCCACACTGCCCCTACCTTACAGGCATCCTTCTTGCCCTCTGCGAAGCCTGCACAGAGCATGTCATCCTGGATGGTTCTGGGCTGAAAGCCAGACTCAGCATCTTTGCTGTAGAGCAGGTTGCACTTGGGCGTATCAATAATGGGCACTGCAAGCTTCTGAAGGATCCTCGGATTGGGCAGGCGGTCTGGGGAGGGTCATGGCAGTCTGTGCTCAGTGGGCAGTCCAGCCAGAACCTCATGGTCCTGGGTTCTTGAGACCCACAGCTGCCTGTCCCTCCCCAAGTTTCCTTTGTGTTTAGACCTTCTTTTCTGCTACAGGGCTTTGTAAAACTGCATTCCTCTTCCTTTCTTCCCCACACCAGACTGGGCTTCCTGTCTCTGTGTCCCTGTCTCTGTGGCTCCTGGAATGGCTGCTCCATTCCTAGCCCCACCCCATTTGTTTCAGCACAGGATATATATATATGTATATATATATATATATATACACACACACACACACACCAATATCAACAGAAAATGGTTGTTGGTTCTGGACCTTCTCCAACACATCCCCCTTTATCCCCTGGCTCTGCCCCTTACCTTGCTCACTGGGACTGCCCCAGCCAGTGACCCAGCAGTTCATGTCCTTCTCAAAGACAACTGAGGGATCAGGCACACACACAGGGAGGATGTAGTTGGTGAAGGCCACAGGTGCCTCTAGCTCCACCAGGGCCACATCAGCACTGGAGGCCATGCCCTGATACAGGGGGTTGCTCTCCACCCGCCTCACGTGGGCATACATGGCACGTGGCCCTGGCTGCAGCAGCTGCCGTGCCCCCAGCAGGACTCGGTACAGAGATGTTTCTGAGGTGCTGGTGGAAAAGAGCATAGAGCTGGTGTGAGCCTCCCTGCCAGGCAGCAGGGAACTGGGGGAGGGCATCTGGCTCACCACAGTGCCTGACATCTCTACACATTGTCTCCCAAAGTGTCATCTCTAGAGCTGCCCAGCAAGTGAGGGGGCGCAGAAGCTGAAGTTCTGTCCCTGGTACCAGGTGACTTAACAAATTCTCTAACTCAGTTTCCTCATTTGTAAGCTGGGGACTGGAAGGCCTGTTGTTTGAAGGAGATGACAATCCCCAGGTAACGCAGGGCCCAGCCCTGCCTGTGTGCCTTGGGCAGGCTGTGTGGTCTCTGAGGCTGAGTTTCTGAGTGTAGGATATGGACTTTCAGAAGAACCACAGGGCTTCAGTGAGGTGGGGGGTGAGGCAATTGGGAAGCCCCAGGGGCTGGGACTGGGTGGGGTGGGGATCTGGCCCCCTACCCAGGTACTATGTAGGTGGCCATAGAAGGATGAAGAAGATAGGGTATGCTCTTCAGAACTCTGGCTTGTCTGATACCAGAGAGAGGTGGATTGAGGTGGGTCAGGACCCCAGGTGTGCAGAGCCTTGGTGGAAAGCCAGCTGATGGGAGCAAGGGCTGGGGTCAGGGATCGCAGCTGGGAGTTAGGTCTGGCTTGACCTAAAGGAAACTCCTAGCTGGGAGGGGATTGCTGGACAGGCAGCAAGGCAGCAGCCCACAGGCCTGTAGTGGCCCAGCGCTGTCCCTGGTGCTGAACTGGCTTACTCTGGTCATTTGGGGGGACAGGGCAGGTGGGGGCCCACTCACTTGGAGAAGCAGTGTGCTGCGGTGAGGACCCACCGTTCTGTGATGAGGCTGCCTCCACAGAAGTGGCTCCCATTGCGCTGGATACTGACCTGCCAAGGCCACTCGCCATCCATGGCATCCTGCCCGCCCACCATCCGGTTCAGCATCCTGGGGCGCCCACAGGCTGGGGGAACAGGGGATGCTCCCTGGGGGCTGGTTCCATGGCTCTGATTCCAGCCCCAGTACCACACACCAACTTCTACTCTGCTCAATTCCTGGTCTTCCTGGCCCCTGACCTGCTCAGGGACCTTGGGAAGTCAGAAGCCCAGAGCATTGATTGGAGTTTGATATAGGGAGATTCCCCCAGCCCTGACCACCATTATTCTCAGGCCCTCACTGTGACCTGCCCTGGGACTTTGTAAAACCTGGTTTCCAAGTCTTGTCCAGATCTGCTTCATGCTCTGTGTTCTTGAATGGTCATGAGGGTTGAGCTATCCAAGGCCTGATGCAGCTCATGGAAGTATGGAAGCCAGGCATTGTCCTTCACAGGTAGGTGGCCCTGAGGGACAGGCTTGGTGCAGTGAGACAAGCCTCAGGTCTGTGCTGACCCTTTCCCTGACCCTGTGCAGTGCTTCGTGCTGCTGCTCCTACCATGTCCTGACTTGCTGGGTGTGTGGTAGACCTTCTTCCTTCATTCCTTTCTGGGCTCCAGTTCTGATGAGCCACTGCCAGATGTCCTGCACATTCCTCTGGGTCTTTCTTATTTATTTATGTATTTAGTAGTGAGGATTGAACCCAGGGGCTCTCTACTGCAGAGTTACATCTCCAGCCATTTTACTTTTTCATTCTTTATTTTAAGTTGCCAAGGCTTGCATTGGACCTAGGATCCTCCTGCCTTAGCCTCCTGAGTTGCTGGAATTACAGGCATGCGCCTCCCTACCCTAAGCTTCCTTCTGGGGCTCCTTGCATGTGATGTGGGGGATGGTGATGGTGGTGGTGGTGGTGGTGGTGTGTGTGTGTGTGTGTGTGTGTGTGTATGGTGGGTGGGTGTTCTGGCCCATCCTGCAGCTCTCAGTCATGCCTGCTTACCTCTTAGAGCCTTGGCCCCCTGAGTTCCTGAAAGTGAACAAAAGGGATTGTCAGCCAACTTTGCCTGTGCCCAGGTCTGTCCTCCCTTCACTCACCTGCACTCCCTCCCCTCAGGATAGCCATAGAGATCCAGAAGGAGAGAGCAGGAACCTTCAGCCGCTCCAGGTCTGGCCTGTGGGCAGAGCTTATCTGCAAGGGCAGCAAACTACTGGCCACATGGCAGGCCAACCAGGAGAGGCCAGTGTGGTGACCCCGTGACTCGACTTCCCCTACTTGGAGCAGGATGACTCCTTTCTTGTCCCTTCAGGACTCTCTCCCTCCATGGCCCACCTCTGTCCAGGTCTGGAAGCTTTGAGGTTAGGGAGTAGAACTCCAGCCCTGGTGCGTGGGGTCTGCCTTTCCCTTAAAGCCGCAAGGAGCTGGGGAGTGAGGATGCTCCGGAGCCACCTCTGCACGTGGGCAGCCTGGGGCTTTGTAAAGCCTGGTTTCCAAGTCTTGTCCAGGTCTGCTTCATGCTCTGTGTTCTTGAATAGAATACCAGCCCTGCAGCCACATGGGGCAGCCTCCTGAGACTCCAGATTCCCAGGGGCTGCTCCCAGGCCAAGAACCCTTGCTTCAAGGGACTGACAGAAAAGTGGAAGACAGCACCTGACCCTCTGCCCCTCCTGAGGCCTGAGGATTCACTTTTCAAATGCTGCTCCAGCCAACCACCCTCTGTCCACATTGGCATGAACATACTGGATGACCCTTTCTCTCCCTCCAGGAACTTGGAAGAGCCTCTTCTCTCCCAGTTCTCTGCCTGAGTCCCCACAACAGGCCCTCCTCACCATCAGACCCACTCTCCCTGCTGCAGCTCTGCTGCTCCCAGTGGGCCCCAGTCCAGATGGAGGCCCCAGCACTGCCTCCTCTGGGAAGCCCTCCTCCCTTGCACTGTCAGTCTCAGAAGCCTTGCTGGTTCCCAAGCTCTCTGTCCCACCTGGAATCTCATCTTACACACAGACCTGGGAGCTCAAGACAAAGCCATGCCTAGGGGCCTGAGCTCAGGGAATGTGTGGAGGGACAGAATGGTGGTGAGGGTTGCTGACCCAGAGAGCTGAGCTCTTCAGGGCCTGTCAGGGGCCAGCAGCATGGCCACGGATCAGCCCCCAGGCCCAGGGCTTCTGAAGCTCCTGTAGCTGGTGGAACCAGATGAGGCCTAAGCTACTAGGAGGGACCCCCTTGACCCAGCCTCCAAACTGCAGGCCGTTGTTTCCACTTTGGCAGTGACCTCGATTGCCCAACAGGCTGAAGCAACCACAGCGTCACACCTCTGTGGAAATGAACTCTCAAAAGAATGGTGTTATCCTGCTGTTACCTAAGGCCAGGAGTGGGAGGCCAGCCAGTGAGGCTGGGGGAGGTTAGCACAGCCCAGTAGAGTGCCCACCTGGTGCCCTCCTACCCCTGGGGACAGGAATCCTAAAGCCCTGGCTAGGCTATGGTCTGAGTGACCTGGCCTGCCCTGGGAGGTGATCTGAGGACAGGGAAGTATGGTGGCTGCTGGGCTGGCCCAGCTGGCCTAAGAATGTGGGAGAGTTTCCCTGGTAGAGAGCGGCCCGCCCTGCAGGGAGAGGCCTGGCAGATGGGGGCCCTGGCTGGAACCTGCTGACCACAGCCTAGGATTGGCAATGCACTGCCTGATCCTCTGTGGGCATGAGGGTGGGACCCTCTGCAACCTGTCCTCATCCCCCAGCTCTCTGCTGAGCCCCCAATCAGCCTCCGTGGGCTCCAGGCTCAGGTGGCAACTCCAGCTTAGTCCTTTTCCCCAACCTAGTTGACAATGGCCTAGGGATTTGGAGCCCACCTGACCTAACTTCAACTCCTGCACAAATGAAGTCTTTCTCTGGGGAAGTGGGGAGAGTCCACTGTGAGAGGAAGCAGGGAGCCCATGCCCAGTGCCTGGCACACTGTGAGTGCCTGAGGAAGGTGGAGAGGTGCCCTTGCCAGACTGCAGCTTTGGGGTCCTCTCAGATCTGCACCCACAGCCCCCATCTTGCCTTCCCCACTTCATACCCACCCAGGGGGAACATCTGGAACCTTCCTACCTGCCCTGGGGGCCCAACCATTGGGTCGGGAAGAGGAGGCCCATCCTGTAGCTTTAGGCAGGCCTTGGGAGCTGGGGGCTCAGTTGGAGCTCCAGGCAGGGCAGAGGGCTCCTGGGGTTGGGGGGCAGGAGGGGCAGACAGATCTGACCTAACCCAGGACTCACCAAGCCACAGCAGCAACAGCAGCAGTGCAGGGGGTAGGGGCTGCCTCATGTTCTCAGCCTGGTCCAGCTGAGTGGGGGTCAGAGGTGGCAGGAGCTCCTGGCACTAGCGAGGTGCGGGGCTCCATGAAGTGGGGTTTTATGCTGTAGGTGAGTGTTGTTCCTGCTATGCCACCCAACCTGTCAGCCCAGCCCATCCAGCTCTGCTCCATCAAGTAGGAGGCGCCCCAGAACCCCGGCTCCTCACTGACCTGGTCCTGAACCCCTTGAACCCCGCAGGCCAGACCCCTCACCCCACACACCCTCGGGTGCCGGTGCCAAGATGTGCCTGTTTTTTTATGTGACTTGGGGACTTGTGCCCTGGAGTCCCCCCACCATGAGCTGATTGGCCACTCCCCAGCAGGCCCAGACCCCCCCACCCAACTGATCACAGTCTTCATCTGTGTTGGGGAAGCGCCCCCATAAGACCCTCGGTTCATTCATTCGTTCATTCAATATTCATGAGCACCTTCTGCGTGCCCAGCTTCCAAGGGGGCGGCCTTAACGCTCTCACGGAGGCGGGATCTGAGGACCGGCACTGAAGAGTTAGGCGCGGGGCGCTTGTGCAGAAAAGAAGCGCCGGGGGAAGTGGGACCACGGGTCGCAGAGCCCCGCCTGCGCGCAGCCCCGATGGAGCCCGGGCGGGCGGGGCGGAAGCCATTCCGGGAAGGCGGTGGGTGGCGGGCCGGGTGGCTGTCCCGCGCCTGCCCTGGGCGCGCCCGCCAGGTCCAGGACGCTCGGCCGCGGCGGAAGACGTCCGAGAGGAAGTTTTTTGGGACACTGGACTGACGTCAGAGCAGGAGTCGGGGCCGGGGCGGACACGCCCTCCGAGTCCGCGGATCGGTGTCGAGGTGCGGGGAGGGCCCGGGACGCCGCCCTGCCTCGGTCGCCCCCGCGTGCGGTGGGCGTGTCGCGGTGCCGTCGGCCCGGCCCGGCCCGCCCCCTGGTGGCCGCCAGGCGCGGAGCTGTCCCGCCGCCGGGGCCGCCCATTGTTTCCCTGTCCCCCGCGACCCCTGGGTCGTCCCCAGGCGCGGGCCGCCTTCCCTCCGACCCTCCTCTGTCCCTGGAGTCCGGTGTGTGAGACGCGGGGCTGCCTCCGGTAGCTGGAGGGAGGAGGAGGGAAGACTCCAGAGTCGTTCGTTCATTCATTCATTCAACACTTTGGGTGCCCAAGGCTTCTAGGTATGGGGAACAGAGGTGAACAAAAGACACGCCCTGCAGCGGGGAGGAGATGGCAGGCGTCATTTACAGGAGGAAAGGGGCTAATTATCAACTGGAAAGTGTTTCAAAACCTCTGGGTGACCACACTTCTCCAGGCACTCAAGAAACAGTAGGGCTGGAGATGTGGCTCAAGCGGTAACGCTCACCTGGCATACACGGGGCGCTGGGTTCGATCCTCAGCACCACATAAAATAAAATAAAGATGTTGTGTCCACCGAAAACTAAAAAATAATTAAAAAAAAAAAACAGTTTGGGACCCTTTGAGGCTAACTGCTTTCTCCTGGATGCCTTTCTTCATCCCCTACCCTTTGAAATGAGATCTGGTGATTCAGGATGGTTTGGCCATAGACTTCAGCCAGTTTCCCAAAGCTAGTTCCTCTGAAGTCTTGCAAAAGAAGTCAGTATGCAATTAGAAAGCAAGGACACCAGGAAAGGCTGGACTCCGGAGGAATAAAATAGGGGTCTGCAATCAGACAACCAGCACCCTGGTTCCCCCTGCATGCACACACACCAGCTGCCTCACTCTGGGGCCTGTGAAACCCAAAACTGATATCAGGCAGCAGGGCAGGGCTGCAGTGAGCAAGAAGCTAGGTGTCTTCTGCACACCATCCACCAAACAAATGAAGAAGAATCCAGAATGATTTCAAATTTCTCCTAAAAATTGAAACTGGGGGAGCTGGGGTTGTGGCTCAGTGGTAGAGTATTTGCCTAGCATGTGTGAGACACTGGGTTCAATTCTCAGCACCACATATAAGTAAATAATGGTCCATCAACAAGTTTTATTTATACATACATATACATACACACACACATATATATAATACATATTAATATATATTATATAAAAGAAACTGTTCAGTGAAACATTGAATACAAGGGCTGGGGATATAGCTCAAGGTTTAGAGTGCTTGCCATGCATAAGCTCCCAGTACAGGAAGAAGAAGAAGAAAAAAAGAGAAAGAGAAGAAGAGGAGGAGGAGGAGGAGGAGGAGGGAAACACTGGATGCAAAAGGTGAAATGGGTGAAGGACCCAGAGGAGTCACCAGGAGGAAACCAATTTGGCTAATGGACTTGCTGAGAAATGTCCAGCCTCAGTAATTAAATAAATGCAAATCAAAGCCACAGAAGGAGCTGCCAGTTATCCGTAAGGGGGTTAGCACAGAGTTGGAGGTTGGAGGAATGACATTAGTCATGGCCAGGCGGAAGTGGGTCAGCAGGTGGGCATGGAACTGGCCTTTTGTCAATCAGTGCCTCTGTGTTAAAGGAGTTATTTTCTTTGATGTGTGACTTCTTCATCCCTGGAAGTCCATCCAGTCTTAAGTACAGAAAAGGCATTTTGACCAAAGATATTCATGCCTAGTTTATTTATATTTGGAAAAACAAACCAAAACAAAAACTTGTAGGGCAACAGCAAATACATCCTCTGAATAGAATTTATAAAAATGACATTTTCAGGGTAAATATGGACAATGCTTGTGATTTATAGGAAGTTAGAAAAAGGGGGGTATAAAGATTTGTAGGAAGGGTAATAACAATGAAAATTTTTAAAACTTAATAACAGCAACATTTTAAAGAAAAGGCTTGCCCAAGGTACTGCCATGACCAGTTGTCATGAACTCATGGGAATTTCTTTTGATCAGGTCTGGTGGAACTCAACAGATGCCCACAGTTGGGGGTTCCTGGACTCCCCGCAGGGGTTCCAGTTGAAGGTAAACTGCAGGATTGAGTGGTGCTAAAGGCCTCTCCCTGGAGCCTGCCTGCTGTATTCTGAGAGGGCTCCCGGAGCCAGGATGCACTGCAGCTGGAGTTTCCTCTCCAAGGAATTCCAGCTAAAAGATTAGAGCTTCTTGCTGTCCCACTCAGTGCAGACAATCCCAGGGCAGGATGTTAATGGGAGCCTGACTTCTGGCCCCATGGTTGACCCATAATGGCCTCAGGAAGGGTGTGGTAGAAGAAAGGAGGGAAGAGCTAGGTCAGTCAGATGCAGTGTCACTTTGCTCCCAGGCAAGAGTGCAAGAAAAAAGACATTTTCATGCATCATGAAAGCTCTCAAAAGCTTTCCCCATACACCCTACTCCTGGGAAGCCGCTAAAGGAAAGATGTTCTCCCAGAGGAGTAAATCAAGGAAGCAGAAGATGTAGGCTGTAGGAAACAGAGAGTGGTCAGAGAAGAGCAGTGAAGGAACCCTTACCATAGTATGAGGATAGTGCTCCAGTTTAGGCCGGCTGCTCATCAGCCTTGAGACTCCAGAGATGGGGTTGCTGCTACTGCCATCAGCACCCCCCCCACACACACACACACAGCATCATCTTTAACCTGATGAGGCCACTGCAGGATGTGCTCCATCAGAACAAGAGATAAGCAGAGAAAGACGTGAGATCCAAGACACAGGGCATCCAAATCAGGAGAAAGGCAAGTGCACCCAAGGAAGACAGTAGTCTCTAGAGAGCCGCAGTCCAGAGGGAAGGCAAAGGGGACACAGCACAGGAAGATGCAAAAACAACCAAGTCCCTCAGCCACCTGAAGTTCTGTGTTCACAACATTAATGTCACTGGCCCACTTGCTCCCACTATTGGCCTGGAATAACTTCTTCCACCCTTTCTTTTCTTTCTTTACTGTTTTCCAGATGAGGTGGTCTCCCCAGCCCCCATCAGGTCTTCTCCACTGCTGGAGTCCCTGGCCAGGCCTCGCGTAGGCTGGAGGCCAAGGGAGCCAGCTCCGCCTGCAGGTCACATGAGGCATCGAGTCAGGGGCTTAGTCACAGATGTGGTCCCAGTTGGTTCTGGTTCTCCCTGCTCTGGCTTGACATTTTCTCTATCAGCCCTCGTAGCAGCAAGTCCCTGGGCACAGTGCCCTCTCCGCCTCCCTTGCTCTCAATATGCTGCACATAAAAGTGAACCCTACGCTTAATGCCTGACTCCACATCACTCCTGGGGGTTCTGCTTCCCCACCAAAACTAACGGGAATACATGAACGTATTTTGCATCAATATCATTTCAATAGTGGAAATCAAAAGACCATTGATTCAATAAACATCAGTGAAAAAATTAGCAAGTAAAATCGGAAAATAGTTTATCTTCATGTCATTCAAAAACTTATTTTTAAAATCCAAAACTATAGGAATATTGGAAAGATATGTTTATAATCCTGGAATACAAAGTACACACATAAAGACTGAAACATCTAAATTTATCAAGATTAAAAACTTTTCAGAGGCAGCTTCGTTTTTCAGGTTTGGCATGGCTTTTTTTTTTTTTTTTTTTTTTTTAATAGGCAAATCCTCACTATATTGCCTAGTCTGGCCTTGAACTCCTTGGCTCAAGAGAGAGATCCCCCTGCTTCAGCTTCCTGAGTAGCTGGTATGAGAAATACAAAGTCTGGTGGTCCACTTTCAGAATATAGAATTCAGCCTTAATTGGATCCAATTGTAGCCATTTTAAATTATAGCCCTTCCCTTTTGCCTGCCCTAATTTTAAAATTAGCCAATCGCAGAGATTGTACCTTTGAGTCTGCCAATAAGGGTGAAGGGCAGTGCTGTTAGGTATATAAACCAGGGGACTGCCGCCCAGGTGTGCTTGCTAGCCAGGTTCTGTAGCATGCCCTTGTGTCAGAAGTAAATGCCTTGACTGCCTACTTTCCAGCACAGGTGTTTGATTTCTTGGGCACCTTGGTATATCTAACACTGGAACTATAGGTGCACCACCATGCCTGGCATATTGTTAAAAACAAAAACCTCAGAGAATTGAATTTGAGTCATGACATCCAGCTACATGCTGAAGTTGGGCAAAATTT